TCCGCTATCCTGGATTCGGCAAGACTCATCACGACGTCGCCGCAAGCCATTCGGATGCTCATTTCGTCGTTTCGGGGTGATGTGGTTTGCGTCGTGGTGTTGGTCGCGGGGGTGGTGGCGGAGTCGCCAATGAAGTTGCGGACATAGAGCTGAGGCCCCAGCACCTTCGCCTCAAGTTGCGAACATCAAATCGACCGACTGCGTACAGCGCCTATGCCTGCCCTCGCTAGGCACAGAGACGCTCGGTACTGCAGCACAGCTGGAATCATACCAAAGTCTACATCGGGGGACGTCTCAGTGCGCTTGCTAAAGGCTATCCCTTGTCTCAGACTGGATGATGACCGCAACGCATCAATAATCGTGGCTGGCCAAGTCGACATCCGTAACACGTTGACAAGGCTGCACTCAGCCTGCAAGTAAAGATTGCGCCGACCGCATGTGCCGCTAAGTCTAGAAGGCTGCGGTCACTGGAGCAAGTCAAGCTTGAGACATGCACGTGTAATCATGATATGCTGTTGAATCTCCTTCCTTCCCAGCACAGAGTTTTGGGGTCATTATCTGGCAGTACCAGTCTCGTTGGCTGCGTGTCTACCCCAAAGTCGAGGTTCATTTATTGAAGGTACACGCATGTCTGCAGTTATGCTATACAAGCTGCACTATGACGCATGTCGCTCGGCGGTGTCATTGAGTACTATTCGCATAGTCGTGCCATTGATGGAACAGAAGCTGGTGGATGGCACTGCAAAGTCCAGAGATTGCAGCCGATCACATGCCATCTACATGAAGTCAAAGGAAGCCACGAAAAGCACACGATCATAAGTGCTGATCAGTCTCTTGTTCGTACATATTGCACAAACGAATGGGGCTATGTACAAGCCTCGTCAATGCCCTTGAATGTGTTATCCTACGCTCAGTCAGGGGTTGGAAGATGACTAGCCTACACCAGTAACACGACCTTATCGTCGGCTGATGGAGAACGAAAGTCGAACAATCGACTCGCATTCGACGTTGCTGGGTGAAGGAGCGCGATGTCCTGCGCCCGCCCAATCGCCCGCCCACCAACAGTGAAGCCACAAGACCAAAATCTTGAAGGCACACAAATCAACTAAGGTTCGTTGGATGTATAAAAAAACTAAATCGTCTCTATTTCACTAACTAGTGGTCATAGGAAAGGATGTAGGTGCCGCGGGCACCGAACCTTTTGCTGTTTCCGCATCCATATCTTGTTTTTTTGCTCCCGCGTTCGACTCTTCCTGGAGGCAAACAATAAGTTGTGTGGCTCGCTTTTTGCCCGCCGCTTCACCTCGGCTCCGCGGTCTCTGTCGGGCGCAGACGAATGTTTTCACCGCGTGGCGCTGGCTTTGCGGGCATTGCGGTTCACTTCCTTTTTGTTCCTGGAAGGGCCCGTAATCGAGACTCCGCCAATCTGGGTCAGCATGTTATACTGAACACGTCTCTCCTGACTTTGTTGGCTATATATTTGCAAAGATTCGTCGTTATTCCACTAACTCGTGAAACTAGGAGAGATGTAGGTGCCCCCATTGGGGGCACCGAACTCTTTGCTCCCGTGTTCGAATCGGCGCATGCTCGACATTAAGTCGGGTTTCTTGTTTTTTGCTCGCGGGGGCTAATTGAGCGCGACTGGCTGCATTGATACACACGTGCCATGCCGCCTAATGCCGTAGCTTATTAGCACATGAGCGATTTGGCGTATTCTAGATCTAGTATCAGAGATTCTCGACAGAGGCATAGTAAGTATGCGGCACGGAGGGTCTTGCAGAACGGCAGCGAGAAGACTCTTGAGGTTGTTGGTACCACCAATGGCACAGAAGACGTGCCGCGTGCAATAGACAAAACGTGATACAGTCGAGCAGTTATGTTCGATGACGATCCTGCCAAGTGTCGCAATGGCGGCAGCTGGCAATAAATGAATAGGAGCATGCTGTGTACATCACGAGAAGGCAGGCCGTTCGAAGGACTTGATGACTTCGGACGGCTGGGGTCGGTCGAGGGCTTAATGTCCCCTGTCAGCCGCGATACTCCACGATAGCATCATCTTTTGGACACACAGTCTTGGATAGCGCTACGCGATCTGCTGATACGAGACTGTACAATTTGTACATGATGTCTGGAAGTTGCGATCTCACGACATCTTGGTGGGGCGAAATTGACCGATGTGGCGTTAGTACCACGCTAAGACGACTTCACCAAACCTCAACACAGCGGAGAGAGGCTCGACGATTGCGATTAAAAGACATCACGATTGAGACTATTGCATGAAAAGATGCAGGTTTCAGGAAATTGGGATCATTGTTATGTCCTGACATATTTCGACTGAGCCATTTCACCGGCTGCGGCTGCAGGCCGTCATCCTTCGCTGTCCTTGCCTTCGACCACGTAAACACAACCTGAGAAGTCGTCTTCACACTTCCACGAACGAGGAACTCGATCTCTCAAGGCTCGCAGGAACCTCCTGTGGCCTGCGCCCATGCATCCATCAGCCACCGCCTGATACCTGGTTATATCTCCAGAGCTTCCCTCTTCTATGTTTTGAGTTCGAGTATAGTCGAGGAAATATAGCTGTTCAGCAACATCAAGAAGATTTGACCGAGCTTGAGTGGCCATTAACTCCAATATGGCTTCAAAGTTTGTAGGCGACATGTCGAAGAGCTCTGCGCGCCCCCCGACTTCCTCGACGACCTTGTGTATTGCGTTGTCCATTGTTCGAATGTATGCCTCCGTTTCTAGAGCGCGAGTCGGTGTACGTCCAAGCTCCTCCTCCGATTGACATTCGTAGTAATGGTAGCCGAGGCTTGTGAAGGATTGTGTCTTGGATTCCGGGCTGAGGGCATGATAGACACCTGCGTCCCTGAGCCCCTGGATACGACCGTATTGAGCCGCTGTGGGGTCAAAATACGTTCCGGTATCGTTCAACCGGGCGGGCTTCTCTGGGCGACAGAGGTTGTGTTCGTCAGTCGGTGTGATCCTGAACATGGAGTGCCAAGCGGCGACGGGTACTCTGAGCATAGGCGGTTCCGAGCCTTCCTCCTGCCAGTAGGCGACCTCTACCTCTTGGTCGGACTGGACGTGGTCGACGTGGGCTTCGTGTACTTCTATCGAGGTGGTAAGACCTGAAAACGTTAGCCTTAGTTTGGGTCTCGCTGGATGTAATGGCGGATACAAACCTTCGGTGAAGAAAGCCACTGTCGGCGCGAAGGCCTTCAGAACAAGGACACATTTGTTGTGTGACAGATAGGCATGCCTTGCCTTGAGGGAAAAGGATTGGTTCTCCAGTACTGATACCTCGCCTGGATGGCCTTCGATATTGCGCACTCCTATGCAGAGTGAACTTCTGCTCTCGTCGGTAACCTCATACATGACTAACAGGCGGTTCGTCGTGTCGCTGAATTCGAGAAACAGGCGGTTGACGATGCGGTCGACGCGGTACAGATCCCGCTCCGCCCTCTCCTGGACGTGAGTGCGGACGCTGCGGTATGTGCCATCTTCGAAGCAGACAGGAGCCCCTGGATGGTCTGCCATTGCGTCCTGCGGTTCGGGGTCCGTTTCGAGTGTGCGAGAGCACATAGTTTGACGGCGGCCGGAAAGTGTTATGGGTGTCGCGGAGGTGAGAGATATCGCGCGATTTGGGAAGGGGATAGCGGGGTTTGTGTCCAAAATGTCGTTCACAGGAGACGGTGCACGAGCGGAGCAAAAAGAAGGGTCCAGCTGTCTCACTTTCTCACTCCAGTCACTGTCACCGCCGACGACTTGTCCGCACAGAACAAATCCCTGAACTACGCCGACGATGTCCTCTTTCAGCGCATCTTCAACAGCCGGACTCACGATCGAAGAGAGTCTTGAACTCTTCCTCATCGCATTCAACGCCGCCGTGGCCGTATTTCGCCCATTCTCTGTCACTTCCTTTGGCGCCAGCAATCTTGTCAAAGATCATATACTGGTGACACGCGATCGCCAAAGCCACGGCCAAGTGCCCGTAGGGACCTCAGAAGCGCTCAAGATCTCTTACAAGAAGCTGAACCTGTGCGACACCTTCTGCACGATCTTCTACAAGGCGGTCGAGACGCGACTAGAATGTAAACTTCCTGATCGTAGCTTTGACGCCAGGCCCTAGTAATTAACCTCAGTCCTACAGCATACGACGCCAAGGTCGAGTATGCTATAATCGAGAATCCAAAGCCGACCCAAACCCTCCACATCCGCAACGAAAGGACCTCGATGCGCCATTCAGTTCTTCTCATCCGCAAGCAAGACGAATCCGAGATCATCTTTGATGACACAGCAGAGCAATTCGGGTGGCCAGCGACGATCGCGATTATAAGCGGCGACAAATTTTGGCCTCATTACACCCATGATGGGCAATACAAACTCGACTTGCACCACAGAGATATGAGTCTGGAGAAGACCACAAAGAGTTTTGCCAGGGATATTGGCACAAAATCGGGATCAGCTTGCGCCAGATGCTGCAGAGCTTCGACTGGGCGATGCTGGAGGGTATGGCGACTAGCGATCGAGAAGACTACGTACGTGAGAAAGCGACGCAAAGGGCCCAGGATGCTGCTCGAGCTTGTTGGGGATAAAGAAGACACATAGTCCTTGGCTAGCTGTCCTATCGGTTGCTTGCCGGCTTGTACGTAGGCAATCTGTACTCCGCAGAGGACAATACATGCCGGGTTTCATGCTGCGGAAGCTCATCGTCAGCCTCAGAAGCTGTTTCATCTAGGTGATATCAGTGTACTGCGTGAATAGTATACGAGAACCGCTGTTTTGGGCGTGCGTGTGTTCAATCGTCGGGGACGCCAAGGCTGAAAGTCAACCAGAAAGACATCTCAACATTGCGTAGCTGGAATCACGCAAAATAATTTGCAGGATACTTGGACTCGGATGAGCTTGTAGGATTCATCAATGGTGATTGTAAGCACGGGTCATTGAGTTGCGGTGTAATGATTTAATTGGTCTTTGCCCGCGCGTAAAGAAGTTACCTAAGAAAGTTGATGCCGCGTCACCCCGAGTCCCGACGCTCGCTCCAAAGACTCCATGACCTTTGCATGACCGGCACCCATGCAGGGTTTAGCCAGGGCTTTCCAGTGTGTGTTCCTGTCGAGATTGCCCGGGATGTACTTGTTGTCGAGGTAGTTCACCAGGACGTCGAGATCCGCCTTGAGTGAGCTCAGGATATCATGCTCCAGAGTACCCCACTTGTCATCATTGCCGCCCCTGATGATGTCCTTCCATGCGCAGCCAGTCATCTTCTGGTATACCCGGTTGTTGACCGTTCGCACGATCGCTTCGGTTCGGAATACTATGCGCAGGGTGCGGGAACGTGACGAACTGGCTTCGTTCTCGTGAACGCTGTTGAGGTGTTGGGAGTAATTGTATCCCAAGGAGAAGAACTCTATCGGCACTTTCACTTCCTCGTCCGGGTATGCAGGGTATTCTCTGACGGGGTATACGCCCGCGGGTCGTAGGTACTGGGGCGCTGAGGGGTCGATGTAGACGCCCTCTCCATCGTCGTTGGGGGAGGTGATTTTGAAAACCGTATGTACTTTGGCGATCCGCCTTCTCCTGCCGGTCGAGCTCTCGATGCAGACGACGGCTTTGATCTCGTAGACCCCGTGTATCTCCACCTCTTCGACATCGATTGGAAGGCGTAGTTCTGCGTCATAGTTTGTTAGCGGTGAGAATCTCTTGTAAACAATCGAAATACTACTCACCCTCGACTAGCCAAGCCAAAAGACTGGCTAGGAGCTTGCACGCAAAGACGCAGTAGTTGTGCGACTTGAATGCTTTGAAGCTCTCGTCTGTCACGGACCTTCGCTCTCGAGCGAGAATTCCGGGACTGATATCCCATTTGGGGCGGAAGCGCAGATGTAGCTGACCGCCCACTTCCCTCGCGCTCAGAAGCTTGTGCTAATCGACCGCTTCTGTGGTCATGGAGAATATGTTGACCATGAGCGCTCTTGTACGAGCGAAGCTCGGGTCTGGCTGCCGCGCTTGTTGGATGTTCATGTTGGCCTGGATTTGCTTGTCGTGTGCGGGTACGACGGGGAAGGTATTGATGAGAAGGCTTTTGGAAATGAAGTGCTCGGGACACAGAGTAGTTCTGAAGACAGGGTGAGGGCGGGGTGGGCGGCGCTCGTCAGTGGTGAAGCAGAGATATCGAGCCTGGTGTTTTGGTCTCGCGCTAGCCCCCGACGCTTCTCCGCCGGACTGACAAACGCACCAACGACTATCTCTGCGCTCGCATTACTGCATCCCGGTTCAATATTGATAGCACATGAATAGGGACTTCACGTCAGGAGTCACTTCAGGGGCGCCGTAAGCGTTCATCTGAATAGTCGAACGTGCAGGCTTTGAGGAGGTCAAAAGCGCTATCAAAGAGCATCGCCAGCTCAACAGTTACATGTTGGTGCAGTCCAGGAGCGCAGATACAGCGCTGCCTGCATTCATATCTTTCTGTTGCTCCGTGCCTGCCTTCGTGTATGCGCAGAAGGAGACAGTGCTGACAGCCAACACTCTCCTCGGCTCGCAGTACTGATACGATGCTCTCATACTGCTCAAAGAAGTCTCATTGCGAAGGGAATTATTATGCGATCCCAAAAGGGAAGGCAGGTCAGGGCAGGACTTGCAAGATGTCCGCTGGGCTACGTCGCGTCACAAAGCTAGCAATGCTGGAGCAGATAGTCTGCATTCTAGGAATGTGAATGAAGCAAAAGTCGACGCTGAAAAGACACAACACGCTCGTCGCGATCACATCAGGTTAATGCCGATTACTGTCGCCAGCGAACAGCTGGGAGCTCTTTGTCGGCGCTTTACAGCAGCAGGACGGATGAATGTAGGGGAGATGCTGCAGGCCACAGATATCGTTGTAAGAATAGAGTAAAGGGCATCTCGTAAGCGTTCTGACTGAGCAGACGCGGAGTGATGCGCAGCAAAGGCAGTGAAGTGCAACTTCGGGAGATGGTGTCACCGAGCAAAAACCTTGGTATAAGACTTAGACAAACACTATGAGACTGCCTGCAAGCCACAATAGAACGTGCAGAAGCTCTCTTGGGCGTTGTACGAGCAAATCGAGCCAATGTTGTGATGGGGAACGCGTCATTCTCCGCACTGTCACCTAGCCAATCTCCGCACCCCCGCCGCACTTTGCCAGGGAAAAGACAGAACCAAAAAGAACAGTTCGCCTCAGTCAGTTTGCTACTCCAGAGAATCGAATTAGCAAAAAAACCTGTATTCATAACTTTATAGTGCCTGGACACTGTCGTATGGAAAACCTGGATATGTTAGCGGGGTTCTTGAAGGTAATCAGAAGAAGCAACTATCTACCTGCACCATCCTAGTGATGGTGGGCCTAACTGTACAAAGTACACATCCTTGCCCCGGATGGTGAAATGTAGATCCGTTAGTTGTATTATATACTCAAGTGGTATCTGTGGGTATAGTGGGGCTGAAGATTCTCTGACCAGTCTCGCGGGGGTGAAGGACTGGCCAGAGCGGGCACAAACATTGAGCTCGTGCCCTTTCTGAGTCCCCCACGCGGCTAACAAGCCCCGCCACTTGTATTGATGAGGCTGCGATGGCCATGACACCTGTTACTGGTGTTTGACGCGTCACTGAGGATGGCTTCCAGCTTGGCAGCGCTTTTTGAGCTGACGATGACTTTGAGTCTTTCAATGAGCTTTTCAGTGCTTCAGCATGTTCGGAGCGCTCTATGCGTCTACAAAGTGTGCTACAGGTGCCATTAAATGGTCTGGTCATCTCCACGAGTTTATGCGCCAGCCTTGATGTTCACATCACGTCACTTCATGAGGCTGGGTTTCATCTGCAATCTCTGTCCTTGCAGCATGTTTAAATCACAAACACGATTAATATACGTACCAATTATCCGGTAGATCTGACCCAGTGGTCTCACAGCGTCTAGGAAAATGTTCAGTCTGCCAGCCTGTCGCGCAGCTTGATGCTGGTGACGTTGTGTAACATTCACGTCGTCAATCATCATGTGGATCTTGGAAGAGACATCATAATATGTACTGAGCTGCATTGATCTGCTGAGCGATTATATGCTGCCAGTTCGGAGACAGCGCATAGGCTGGTCTCCTTGCGCTGATCTAACTGCCCCGTGCCTTGCGCGCCGGCCTCCTTTCTACTTGGCTTCCTTCGAAGCGTTGCCCTGGCTATGGTTCCAGGTCCTTCGCGTCAATGAGGGTGTTGTAGGAAGTCGCGATCGGAAGGTAGGCGTGGCTCTCGGTAGAGCAGTCATGTTGTCCGCGCGGTGGACCTTCAGTCAAAGTCAAAAGGGATGAGGAGCCTGCATTTTGTCAATTCGTTGTTTTCCAGACCAAGACAACTCGCTTACCAACATAGCCTCCCTGGGCCTTCATACCGGAGTCTTCTTCTGGCGGGAGGCATGCATGTATGAGCCAGGCTTGCCATAGCCCTCGTAGTCTGCCACGCTGTTGGAGTGCCACCTGCCCTTCATGGCCTCACGAAGATCTTCGAACGCCTGAGCCCATCCAAGTATTCCAGACCTCTGCTGGTACAGTCTTATGCTGCGCGCTATCGTATCGTCCATTTCCTTCTCGGTGACCTCGGCGCCAGCAACGGCCAGGAGCGTCTCCACAGTGCCTGCCTTCTGGAAGACCAGGGCAAGAAGGAGCAGCGGGCTGTCGTCTTCGAACAGATGTGGCGCGTTGGTGAGCATCCAGCGGTACAAGTAGAAGTACCTGAACGAGATCTCCGAGGCGGGCCCAGTCAGGAGCATGTCCGCGTCGGCGCTCGCGTCAGCCTTGTTGGCTTCGTTGAAGGGATAGTCGTGCATGCAGGCGGCCACGCTCGAGACATAGGTCCCGCTGCCCTTCTTCGTGTGGGGAGCTGCTTTGATGCGAATGCGACAGAGTGGATGCTGGCCCTTTGGCTTGATTCGACATGCCTCCTCGATGGCTGCAAGAGCGGTGGGCCATTCTTTATCCGCCGTCAATGTCTTCGTCTTCGTGTAATAGTTCTCTGGCAGAGACCTAGATTCGCGTGTTAGCTGGCTCATTGATGGTTTGAGCTTCTGGAGAACTGACTTGAGCTTCGCCATTGGGTCTCCGCCGTAGTGATTGGCGCAGTCTTTCAGTATTGTCTCCAAGACCTGCTTCTGAGTGGCGATGGCCGCCATGTTGATTGTGGAGAAAGGGTTGGACTGAACTTTCGAAAGATGGCGGGTCAGTCCGAAAGTCTGGTCAAAGTTGTAAGTAGGCAGGGTACTCTGGAACTGTGCGTGTCCCCGTTTACGCGCTAGTTGTGGCACTCGGACGCCCACACCGGGAGCAGATGTGAAGGCAACTCTCACTACCCCCACCATTTTCTTCTACCAATCCGATACTTTCCCCCACAATCATGACCACTGAGTCTCCTCAAGCCGGCGTGCGCGTCGCAACTACCCTTCCAGCCCTTTCTCTTCGCCAGATTCTCCTCGTACACCTCATCATGTTCCAAGAGGCGCTATTCGGCTGCCATGTCTTCGGGATAAGGATATCATGGCTAAACCGACCGTCACGATCCGGTGTCCCGACAGCGGTCTTTGACTACGATCGATCGAAATTTGGGTGCCCGGATACAACACGACTGAGCTCAGGGAGTGAATATCGCGCAGTGATCTTCAAGCACTATTGCGAGACGTTCTGCGTCATGATGAAGCCTTTCGTCACCCGGCACCTCTGTGGTAAGGAACAAGGCCCGATGGATAGTATGCGCTCTTGAACAGTGACTGACAGCGAGCAGAGCTTCTCGGCATCGGCCACACGGTTACGTGGATCAATTTCATAGCCAAACCGCATTTCCACATACTCGCAGATTGGGCAGAGATGGATCAATTGATATCCCACTCCTGTCTGTTGGTATCCGATGGTAACGGTGACAAGCACGTCTTGGATGGCACTGCCGATCAATATGGACGAAACTGGAAGACACATTGGTTCATGGCAGCGAAGGAGCTTATTGCAAACTTTCTGGACCCTGACCACTCGGATCCTAAGAAGCACATTTGGGTGACGAACGAAAATGGGGAGATCACTGTGTGCGAGAGGCTTGAAGGCAAAGATTGTAGCCACGGAGAACGGACGGTTGGGTACTGGGTAGTCGCGCGCAGGCGTATGGAGCAGATATTCCAGGAGCTGAACTGGACATCTCTCCGTGGGCTGTCGGACGACGATGTGGAGGAACGTATCCGTTCCCTGAGCAAGGCCAAGTTCGAGGGGGCATTTGAGGACGCGCAGTCGAAATAGACGAGCCTTCCTCACGCGGCCCTTGATAGGCTGATGACTTGGACACAGTAGATAATACAGTAAATTTCTCATACATCTTGGTAACTATAAATCGTCAGTGAAGGTGCTCCAGAACTGGCAGGGATGCACTGACGTACCTTTAGCGCTAAAATCCAAAGACAAATTGTGGCTGCCCCTCCGTACCCTCACTGCCTCCAGGACGCCAAAACACTCGAGCAGAAGCCGTCCTCCTGCTCACGCCTCCATCATGACACCGGTCAATTCCACCACCACCGCACCACCTCTGTCCCTGGAAGAGGTCCTGCACGTTTACCTACGTTGTTTCGACGCCGCCGCTGACGCCGCCCCACGAGCCTCAGCCGCATACGCACGGGCATATAAAGCCAAATCTGTGCCTACCATAGTCTGGCAAGTATGGTCGACGGAAGACCTAAAGACTGACCCGCCTAAAAAGCTTGAACGCTTCTCCTTCCTGCCGCCGGGGCTCAACGAAGCACTCGCGCGGCAAAACATGTGCGACTGGTTTTGCATGGTCCTCGAGGAGGAGGTAGATAAGAAGGTCGGGGAATTGTTCCGTGGGCGCGCAGAATGGTTGAGATGTTGGCCGAGGGTCAACTTCATGACGACTTGGCGCAGTCTGAGGCATAAGCCTGTCGCAGTGCCAATGCACTCGGTCCTGCGAGTTACGACAGAAGACGGCCAGAGAGTGGTCATGGACGGTACCCTGGGGCAATTTCGTTGGGCGCAGTCGACATGGCTCCAAAAATGGACACAGTGGTGTGCCAAACGCCTAGACACCACCAAGGGGAACAATGGCTGGCATTTCGTTTCGAGCGAAGCGAAGCAGGAGGTATGTGATTACTCTGTGGATATAGCAGAGGGTTACTGGGCTACTATCTTCTGGAGGATGAGGGAGTTGTTCCAAGAGCTGGACTGGATGGAGTTGAGGAGACGAGAGAAGGATGAGCGTATCGAGTACGTCGAAGAGCTGGCCCGAGCAAAGTTTGCTGATCTTATCGTAAAGGCATTCGATGTCTGATCAAGGCTAGGACTGAGATGAGGACCGAGAGGAATAGATAGACATTCAACTTCGAAAACGATGAGAAATCACTGAAAGAATATGCATATGCACAATACCTGAACTATACAAGCCAAGCAGGCGCAGCCCCTACCTCGTTACGCCGTTGGTGCCCACTTGCTCTTCGTTCTAATCCTCGCCCCGAAGATGTAGAACAGAATGGGTACAGGGAGGAATACCACACAGATGAACGCCAGAAGGCTGGTCGCCCATGGTACACCGAGTTTGATGTACATTGCATGTGTAAACAGTGGAAAGAAAGCGCCCGCAAACGAGCGGATGAAAGTGTTGACCGCGATGGCGCTGTTGGAATAGAAGCCATAGCAGTCGATGAGGTAGCTCATTCCCTGCCAGAAAGGCACCATGCAACCAAATCCGAGAAGGGCGACGGAGAGCACCTGCGGTACCCAAGAGATGTTTGGATTGCTAGTCCAGGCAAACCAGAAGAGACCGACAGGAAGTGCGATGGCTCCGAGTATCATGGGCGGCAGGCGTTCCTCCGGGATGACTTTGCCGTGTTTACGAAATGCGCGCGTGAATCCAGTCGCTGAACTATAAGCAATACAGCCAGCGCCCATCAGAATGCCAACTATGAAGGCGCCGAACGGGAGCTGAGAAACCCCTAGAGACCAGCCACGTTCCTCATAGAATGACACGGGAAACTATCGGTTGTCAGACCATGGTAGCAAGAAAGGTATGGATGTAAACTCACAGCTTCGAAAAGTAGATAGACAATGCCGTACAAGAAGCTCATGTAAGCTGTCACCAGCGCCAAGATGGGTTCCTGGAAGAACATGATAAATGGCCGTAAGAGGTAAACGTTCAGCACTTTGTCGAGAGTCAACTTGTTCTCGTCTGCCGCAGCGTGGTATTCATTGTTGCCCGTGTCCTTTCGCAACCTCGCAGCTCGCAACTGCAAAATCCTGGCTGCAGAAGTCTCCGGTATGACAAGGAAGCCGATGACGCCAAACAGGCCGGCCATGATGAGGGTGATCCAGGACGTCCAGCGCCACCCAAGATGCGACTCGGCTATGAAGCCACCAGCAATGGGCCCTGCTACCGGACCAGCGAATCCTCCAGCAGCAAAAATGCAGATGGCATACGACCTGGGGATGGGATCCCACAAGTCTGCGAGAGCTCCACCCACGACTGCCAGGGGTGCAGAGGCGAAGAGACCACCAAGGAAGCGGCCTACGCATATAGTCGTTATGTTTTGGGCAAGAGCGACTGGGATCTGGAAGATTGCGAAGAGTGCGAAACCGAACATGAGGGGAGTCTTCCGTCCCAGAACCTCTGACATTGGCCCGAAAGCAATGGGTCCAAATACGAATCCCTATAAACTTTTGTATCAGATATTGCGCTTGTGGCCGTCGGGCGGGGGCTCCACGTACCAGGACAAACAACGCTACGCCAAGAGTAGCTGTGACCTTTTCGACATTGAACTTCTCCTGGACAATCCCGATGTTGACACTGAAGATAGAACTGGCAAATGTGACCGTGAAAACCATAAGGCCCATGGAAACCGTGATACACCATCTTCGTTTGGGCGTCCAGTTCTTCGGGTTGCCGGGGTCTTTGGGTCCATCGAACTCCACGAAAAAGCGACCTGTTTGTTCTGGTGGCGTAGTGCTGTCTAAGCCCTTCTCCAGGCCATGCAAGGCGTCTTCTTCGCTCTTTCTGGAACTGTCCTCTGTTACATCCAGTGTCTGCTCTGGGGACGTCCGAGGCTGTGCTGATGGTGGTGTAGACCGGGGGTCTATGCTGTGTTCTGTCGTCATGCTGGAAGAAGCTTTGAGGTCGGCGATATACAGGCTTGGCTACGGTGACGGGGAATGAAGTATTTATAGGATTCTACATGTCGGGCTTGTGGATATGTCATTATTCCCGGGGTTTGGGCGGATTTAACGATAAGGAAGCAACGACCTTCTGCAGCCGCCCCTTGACCCACCTTCAGCGCCGGGCCATCTACGCGAAGGGCGACTTGGCGTTTTACTGACGGTCTGGTCATGTCGCGCCATGGTAAGGCTCCGCAGCTGGATTGTTTGAACGCGCCTTCACGCGGAGGAAGGACGTCGAGGAGAAAGGGGAGATGCTGCGTCATCGATTTGTTGGGGATGATGGGTGCACTTTCCCTGAAGCCGACAAGCGCGAGCCATGGATGCGGCTACTTTTCCGGGCGACCCACCAACTCTCATCCGACCTCATCTCAGTCAGCCCTTCTGTACAACGCGGCCTGCCGCCACGCCCTTATTTCTTTGTTTTCTCGCACATAGCGCATATCGCGCTCGCGTTCTCGGCATCAATTCGACGCGAGCCCGTAGGCCAGAACGACGTTTCGCACATCAGGGGCTCTGGCAGTATGGTGTCCGCGCCAAAATTTGAAAATGACGTTTCGCGTTTGATACCAGATGCTCACATTCAGCAGCCGTTTACTCTCTGCACATTGAGCCTCTTCTACTCAAATTCCTTCAGGTCTTTTCCTACTACCACGCCAGGGTCTCGAGGCACTCATGATAGCGTCCACCGAGGATGATACTCCGAGCGATTGCATGGCTGCCCATCAGCCCCATGCAGGCTTACCGCGATACCACCGTACTGTTGCGACATCCCGAACGCGCCTTCCTCGCCCCCAGAACACTCAGTGTCTCGGTCGTCCTTCGTTCTTTCGCATACCAGTCTAGCTTCACAAACGCTGGCACACCAAAGTGAAGTGCCAGGGGCAAAGACAATGCTGGAGGGGCACGCTGGCCGACGATCTAGAACGGCGAGGAGAAGAGATAACGCCAGTATGCGGCCCGCCGAATGAGCTTGTGAGAAGGATAAATGCGCAAACCCTGGACTTCCCGTTCAAGTCCTGAGCTTGTACGCGACGAGTAGGAAGCAGGCATGTCACTCAGACGAAGCTTGGTCACCACTGCATTATTTATCCTTACTATCGACCTTATCTTGAGAGTCCATCCCAGTCACGCTGTCGTCACCTCTGATACCTCCAGCCAAGAAGGTTCCTTCCGTTACCCTCTCAGTCCTCCTCGATTCTCTTGTCCAGACTAGGTGCGCTTCCATGAGTGTCCGATGAGTTATGCAGTATCGAGATCGCCGTCCGCAGAGCGAGAACCTGGAGTCTTCGATTCCGGTTCTATCTCCGTGCTAGAGATGTTTCCATCGGATCACTGGTCGGCGTCTTCTTCGAGCCACTCAGGATACACATCACCCCGATGGATTTCTTGCTTCAGCCTTTTCCATGCTGTGTACACATCAGAGTCCTCTACGAGTGTCAATTCCACTTTGGACGATTCCTTAAGCTGATGAAGAAGCTTCTGGCAAGAACGTTCATACCATCCGCTCTTAACCTTGATACCCGCTGATTTGAGACAACGCTCTATGTACTCTTCTGTCCCGATAGTGAGTACGAGAAGCAATACCCAACTGTCGTTGTGCAGCGTGTGTGGTGCTTCAGACACTATCAATGAAACGATTCCTTCCCGGTCTTGCTGATGGGTGTCGAGCAGACTCTTAACGCTCATGTCTGTCAGTTGTTCCCACTGGACTTTGAACGTTTTCGTCGGGTTTATCGTAGGTCGGCGTTCGTGTGCTTCCGATGGACGGAAGTCCCTATGCCAGGGCTCATGCTCGTTCCTTGGTTCTAAGACAGGAGAGAGTGGATCGATGTCTTGCACAAAGCGCAGCAGGATGCCGATGTATTCCATCGGGTAAGTACTGGCAAAACCGACTGTGTCAAGTACTATGTACGGTGTTTGTAGGCCATGGCCTTGAGCCATGTCATAGTGCTTCTTCTCGTAAAAGCTGTACGCCTTCTCATGCTTGGCTGACAACCAGCTCGATCGTCTTGCTGCTCGCACCAAGATAGCCTCAAGTATCCGCTTTTCTAATCTCTTAATGTGCACAGCACTGGAGGGGTTCGATGTCGCTTCTTGAGGCGCACTAGATGCTGAGCTCTTGCTCTTTTTCGTCTTAGAGGATTGAGCTTTAGCAGCGCCTGGAGTCTTCTCTTCCTCGGTGTTCTGTTCTTTGCGAGCAAGAGATGTGAAGTATCGAACTTCTCTTATCTCTGTCCAATTCCGATCGACGACACCGAGATCAACGTGCAGCGGATTCACCTTCGCCGAATCGACTCGAATCAGGAACAAGTCGTAAGCATGCAGGCTGTTCTGAACATCCAGATTCTGGCCTTTCATGGATGCTACATTCTTTTGCTTCTTCCACGTATCCTTCGCGTCTTTGGCGACACGCTGAGGCCAGAACCACTTCTCCGTCCCTTCTAGCAAGTAAAGGTAATTTCTCTTTGGGCCCAATCGCCTGATAGCTATGATTTTCTCGTTCATGACTGGACCTGGGAGATCTTCGGGTGCCTCCTGGAGCCAGAGCTCGGCCATATCGTCCGGGATTTTGATCTTGTCTGAGGTTGGGGAAGCAGTGCTCTCGCTGGTTGCTATCGTGGATGTCTCAGCCTGAGGCTGCGGTTCGTCGTTCTGCATGGCAGCAGTTGTTGGCTTTGATCGATCTTTCGACATGCTGTATTTGGGATGATGATTACGCGATCAAAGCAGGTAACGAGACGTTGATAACAGGCATAGCACACCTGCCCTCTTATACCAACGCCTATCATACCAGCAATCATGTCACCATCACCAGTGTGGATTGTTGCAAGCTTGCTACATGTTACAAGTGGCTATATCAAACTTAAGAGATGAATTGACAGCTATGGAGTGTGGCAGCTGAAACTATAGACATTGTCACACGGCTGACCCTGTCTACCTAGTTCTCGTCATCGGCCAACGCAACAGTCTTCTTAGTCTTCAACTTCTTTGCTGGCGGTTGCTCACCGATCGCAGCAGTGGATACCCTCTTGCCCGGTTTTCCAAGCCTAGATGTTCCATCCACTACCCCCTCTTCATTATCAGTCACCGCTGACATGCCAGGTTTTCTTGAACCAGGGCCTGACTTCGCAAGCGCTTTTCCCTCCTCTGAGGTACCCTGATGCTGAGGGGCATGACTTGGGGCTGGTAGATCTTGGTCAGCTTCAGTGCCATCTCCTTCAATCTCTTCAATCCCTGACTGGTCTTCAGCATCCTCTGCTTCAACATGCTTGTCGTGTTCGTTCGCCAGCTTACCGTGTCTCATACCCTTCAATGGCCGGGCGCTCTTCTCGTTGGCCGGAGCGTCGTCTTCATCTCCAGAGGTGTCTGTACTGTCGTCGTGTTCAGAGTTGCTATGTTGTCCGCGGTCGGATCCAGGCCTCGGAGCAGCGTCATCATCTGGCTTTTTTGCGTCTTTCTCGCTGGCGAACTGCTCGTCCTGCAGGGACTGCTGAAGCAACCAGAAGGTGTGTACTGCTTCGGCATAGCTCAGCTTCTTATGCTCCTGATACTCTTCCATGCAGGTATGGATAGTATCTCTAGAACGAGCGGCGTGCGCCATCAGCCCCACCTCCTCTTCCGCTTGCTCCGCTTCGTCGTCTGCGAGGAGGGCCAGGGCGAGCAGATAGGGCCATGAGCCTGGCCTGGCAACATGGGGACTGTGGGTGATCATACGACGACCGAGGTCTTTCCGTTTCGCTATGGTTGGCGGCACAATCTTTTCTAACATGATCGGTCCAGTAGTACGCTTTCTTTGCCAAACATAGAAGTCTTCGATGAAGACGGTCCAGATGCTCATCAACTTGATTTTGGATGTTTGCGCCGTTGTTGTTGATGATCTGTTCTCGTCATCGAACGTTTCGACATAGTTCGAGGCAGAAGTCCACACGACATCTACGTCACTCAAGCTTTGACGAGTCTCTTCGTTGAGTTGGTTTTCATCGAGCTGGTCAGCATCGGTCTCGCTGTCATCAGGCTTGCTGTCATCGATGTGAAGCTGCCAGATCATCTCGAAGAGCTCTTGAGCACTTTTGGAGGCGGATGCCATAGCTCTCGCTTCGTCCTCGTGCGTCGCATACTGATAGCTTCCATCCTCTGGTTCTACCAGCCACGAGTTGGGCTGAAGAACCTGATCCAATATGAATATGAGCATCTGGTTCACACGATCGTAGTCATCGTTGCTGAATCGTGTGATGAATTTCTCCGGCCCGTCTGTCAGCGTGACTTTGTTGAGAACTCTTACTTGATACCAGCCAGGTACGTTCACATCTATCCAATCATTCTGTTCGACTTCCTCAAACCTCTCGACAGTCTTCTTGTACAACTTCGTAGCATGGGTCTTTCTCATCCACTCAAGCTCCCCATCGTTCCATATCAATACCTCCAAGTTACCTTTTTCCCATCTCTTCCTTCGCGCGATGATGATGGTCTTGTCGGGCCTCTTCGGGTTTTTCTGCTCGTTGCCGGCCAGCGCCGTCCGCGATATCTCGAATGCTGGGGGAACTTCGAGAGCCTGCGGATGTTGTTGCTCTTCTACGTCAGTATCGATAGAAGTTGCGGATTTAGCAGGTTTGGCCTTTCTCCTTCTCTTGCTCGGAGCCACCTTACCGTGGTTATTCCCATTCTCATGTTCGCCATCGTCTTCGCTCAGATTCGGAATCCCCGCTCTCTTCTTTCGCGACTTTAAGTGATGCTGTGCTGTCGGTTCGCTCGCGATGCTTCTTGGTATTCCCACCTCTTCGTCCATCTCAGTGTCGCCATCGTTGTTGCCCAACGGGTTCCTACCAAATACGACCGTTTTTAAGGTAGACTTTGGTGGTACTGTTGTGCTGGCTGGTACTTTCGACCCCGCGGTCATCTCTTCACGTCCAGCTTCGCTTTCGTCCATGTTGTTGCTCATATGTCGGATCAAAAGGTTGACCGTTGACGAAGACTGTGTATTCGGGTGAGAGTATTGATGTGAGCAAGTGAAGAAACCGATTGACCGAAGCTGAAGATCTTATGCTTTGATCAGTTTGCTACATCTGCCAGGGTCTTTATGCGTAGCCAAACTTCGTTGTCACGTCATGACCGCATTCTCATCCCTTCCATTATGTCACGTCATGAGCAATCTAGCAAATAGACAGAAAGCTCCAGACGATACCACTGTGCGTCCAGGGTACTGGAGTAGTCGATCTATATCCCGCGCACTCGTTGTCGGCTGGCGCTATTCCAGTAGCCGAGACGCAGTAACTTCCAGAAAAACGTCCAGGTTGTTATCGAAACACAACTTTGCTTCTGCCTTCGGTTCAGGCTTAACATCGTCAATCAACACATGCAATCATCTAAACTAATATCTATCAGTCCTCCAGTTCTATATCCTCGTCGTCCCCAGCCTGCTCATTCTCGCCATCCTGTCCATCGCTGCCTTCGCCATAATTCCCATCCACCGACGCTGCCACGATAGCGCTCCCATCCTCATCAACATCATTCTCCACGTACCAGCGAATCTCATCACGAGTCGCCAAGTAAGTGTGCTCAACGCAGTCAATCGACCATTTCTCCCAATCACCGCAGTATGTCCATAGAAACTCATCCCGCGTATGCTCGTGCCAGTTATCTCCCACTTCAATACCGACTGTCTCCAACGACGCTGCGATCTCATCGCCCATGAGGAATAGTCGCGCAAACATGAGTAGCTTGGGGTCTTTCAGCAGGTATGGCGCGTGCTTTGGGAACAGTGCGACGGTTCTGCTTAGCTGAAGAGCGATGTTGTGAGCGGTGTTAGACGTCCAAGTAGGATTCCTCAGCTCACGGAGACTGGTGTCGAAGAGCGGGGTGAGGAAGTGGACGACGGGGTATGAGCGGCGCTTTGCAGGGTCGGTAACGATCTCTGCATCAATCCTGCTGATGTATTTGACCCTGATCGCCCTATAGGGTAGGTCTCTGTCTGCGACTTTCACAATGTAGCGGCTTGACTCTGCTGTCTCCCGCATGATACAATAAGTGCGTCGTAGGACTTCTGCAGCGTTTGGTGTGTTTTCCTTAAGGTTTTCCGCGATCTTCACCGCTCGCTGCTTGTGTTCTTTCGTCCTGAAGACCCATTCATCGCTCTTGAAGAGGCTGTGGGCTACAGCTCTTGCCGCATCCTGCAGTACCGTTTCCCGGAAGTGATTGAAGACCGTCGTTCTCATACGGACTATGTGTTCGGCCGACTCGTCTGCGCTAGCGTTCGTTGTGGGTGGGAGTTTGGGTGGCATATTTCGGTGTCGCTCGCTCGAGTTGTTGAGGACTTTGCAAAGGTGGTTGTGTACTGCAAAATGTATCAGGATCCCTTGTTTGCTAGTGAAGGGCGGAGAGCTTTGAAAAATACCTTAGATCATCACAGTCTCGAGACGTCGACGACAGAGCACCAGGGAGGTAGTCAGTGATGATCCGATTGACCGGGGAAACATGCGAGCATACTGTATTGCTCCTGGAGGTTGCGTGCCGATTGAGTGTGTGAGATGATGTAGGGGAGTGGCAGCTACAGAGGTGCCCAGACCAATCAAAACAACACCTGCAGTACCATACTAAGCACTCCTACAATGTCATCACCACAGCATATTACAAGTAGTTATCTGAATGATGGAGAAGAGTTCTATTCATGCATATTTATAAGGCGCACAGCGGCGCCATCCCCCCAAACCACACCACACCACCTCTGCCACCGCCAGGAACTCAAGACGTTTTGCCCGAAGGCCCCAATTCCTCTCCACCCCACCCAGATCTACTGTCCGAAGACCGGCCTGTCAAGATATGTCAGCTTAGCTCGTCAATGTGTGATCAATTAAGACTTACTTCCACTCATCCAGCTCGCGGTCGAGCTTCCAGGCTGAAACCCCCAGCCTCATCCTCTCCCTCTTCTCCGCCGCAACCGCTCTCTCCCACCGGAGCTTCTCCTTGATCATGCCCTTGGCCTCGGCCAGGGCGGCCACCTTGTCGGGGTTGGAGATGGCGATACGCCAGACAGCGTTCCAAGATGGCCCCATGTGGGCTGCGGACGTTGGCGGCGACGGCGCGGGTGCATAGTCGACTTCGGGGTTGAATGTGAAGGTCATTTTGTAGGAGTCTTGGGGTATAGTAGGTATCAGAGTGTGGTATGGTGAGTACGTTGGAAAGTTTTGGAGGGTGCCAGCTAGGATACACAGACGCGCAAGACTAAAGGTTTAATTACAATTCCTCGCTCTTCACCTACAAACGGGCAGCTCGACCAATCAGTTCCAGCCCACCCAACTCTTACTCATTACACGCCACACTCTCACTTCACCTGATCTCAAATCTCCCATCTTAAAGCTCTCTGGCTTGACCTTCTTGTGCTCACGTCCCTGCTCCCAAGCCCTTACCTTCTTCTTACTGCCATCCCACTCGACAACTACACCGACATGATCCGGCTTCCCAACATCCATCGCGTACTTAGCATGCATTGGCCCAGTCTTACCCTGGAACTTTGCATTGCGGAAGCTGATGATGTCACCAGGGCGAATCTCATCGTATACTTGGGTTGACGCGTTCGCTAGGTTGGCGTACACAAGCGCGCCGTAGGAGCGAGTTGAAATTGGGGGCAGTGCGTCATTGAAGGGCTTAAACAGCTCCTCAATCAGTCCCTGTGGCGTGCCATTGCCTACGACGGTGTTCTGCTTTGACTCAATAGTCTTGGCTATCGAACGACCAAACTGCTCGTACGCGTTCTCCAGCTGATCAGGACGCTGGCTGGGAGGCGGCGGCTCATTGCGCTGTTCAAGATCCACGTCGGAGACGTTGGTGGACTCGAAGCGGGCGGAAATGATTGTTTGTGAGTAGTCAAGGTAAAGAACTTTGATGAGTTTCTCCACAGTGTTGCCTGATTGCGACTCCTTCATGTCTACCAGGACGTCTTTGCGGGCTTGGAGTGATGGGGGAAGTAGCTTAGGCTGGGTCCACCAATGCGACGACATTCCCAAATCGATATCGTTTGCAATGAAACCTTGATTCGTTGCCGGGCGAGGCTGATCCATGGAAGATCGAGTTGTCAGCATTTGGGCTGCATCAAGCGACTTCCGAGTGTTCAGCATTCGAGGCGGTGCCTCCGTTGCGACTGGCGAGAACATAGAAACTGGGCGTTCCTGCGGTGGCGGCGGGACCATTCTTTCTTGAGCTGGAGGAGGCGGAGCTTGTAGAGGTGGAAGAGGCGGAGGTGCATGCTGGTGTGGAGGAGCCTGAGGTGGTGGAGGCGGTGGCCTATCGTGAGACTTCCGAGCTGGCGGGGAAGAGTACAAATCATCCTCTTCATCTGATTCACCCGCTTGACGATGTGGTACAGGAGGCATCGATGGTGGCATGGGTGGTGGTGGGCGATTCTGCGGGGGAGGAGGCTGGCTTTGTGGGGGCGGTGGCACTGCTCGAGGAGCTGGAGGTGCTGCGGCTTGCGGAAGGGGTGGGCCAGTGTACTTGTACGGATCATATTCATCATCGTCATCGTCCATAGGGACGCTGCGAGTCGGTGGTGGTACCGGTGGGAGAGGCGGTGCACCACGAGGAGCATCTGTTGATGGCCGACTGGGCGCCTGTTGGGGTGGTGGAGGCGGAACTGCACGAGGTGCAGTAGGAGGCAGAGGCGGCATTCCCTGAGGAATAGTGGGCGAGCGTGCTGAAGTTGGCTCGTCCGTCAAGGTATTGTCTTCTACGCTGGAATCACGAGCATGTGACTTCAAGGCGTCCTTGTGAGTTGCCTCGGGCGCCATGTCAGTGTCATAGTCACCTTCGTAGTCAGTCTCGCCCTCGTTACGGTCCAGTTTGCGAATTGGAAGATCTTCATGGCGCGATGGAGGTGCCTGCGTTGGTGGAGGTGGTGGAGGCGGACGGCTCATTGTAGGCGATGTAGGACCCGCTGACGGAATGGGAGGCACGCGTCTTTCTGCCAGATCCTGAGCTGGCTCGCCAGAAGCGAAATACGAAGCCCGCCTATTGGATGGCTGGGAAGGGGCAGACGGAGTAGGGGCAGTGTCGGTCATCTCATCACCAGACTCAGATCCGGGCCCAGGAGAGAGAACCTGCGGAGGAGGTGGCGGTACCGGTCGAGCTAGATACTGTTAGTGTTGTTCATGTATTGATAGCCGATATGACTTACAGGCCGATGGAACAGGAGGGGGAGCAGGACGTCCTGGAGAATGTTAGAACCAGTGGAATGGACGTAAGAATTATTGATAGAGCCAAGTGCACACACATACTAGACACGCATACAGTCATCACATATTCCGACAGACCGTCATAAGTGACATATGTCTTAGACAAGGTCTCGGAAGATGGCGACTGCAGACGGCCTTGGGCATGGCGTACAGAAGCGCGGATTGGTTTGCGAGGAATAATAAACTTACGGTCTGTTGGAACAGGCGGAGGACCATCGCCAGTAGTTGGCCGGGCCGGCTGAGATGCAACCTCCTCTACGTCTGGCACTTCGTTGGCTGAGTGAGTGCCTGTGACGGGGTGCGGAGTTTCATCCTCCTTCTCGACAGAGATCGTGCGATCTTCAGGTTCTGGGCTTCGGACGGGCATCATACCAGGCATACCAAACATAGGAACTCGTTGCTGAGGCATGCTGTACTCCTCAGTCTCTTCGGGCCTTTTCTCGGTGGTCGATTTCTTCTTCTTCGGTGGAAGACCACCGCCCATGGGCATACCACCTCCGAACATACCAGGCATACCAGGCATTCCGGGAATGCCACCGCCCAATCTCCTCATGCGCTCGCGTAACTCCTCCTTGCGTCTCAACTCGGCAGTCTCCTCGTCTTCCTCTTCCTCCTCATCCTCTTCTTCGGGCACGTCTTGCTCATCACCAACGTTGTATTCTTCTGTTGGGGCAGTGGGTGCTCTGGGAGGTGGCGGCGGCGGGTGCCTGCTCTTTGGTCGGTCCTGGTCCTCTTCGACACTTGTAGATTCTCCTCCAGCATCTTCAGTATCTCCAGCTGCTGATTGATCAGCGTCGTTCTCGCTGAGGAGTTCGCGGTCACGGCTGTCCGCGTCTGGAGAGCGGATGTCGTGCGATGTTCGCGGAGGGCGATTCTGGTCCATGGATGCACGACCTTTAGAAGCTCCACTTGTCACGCGTTCGAGGCCAGTGTCCTCGCTGTCTTCAGCGCGAGCGTCTTGAGACTCAGTCCTCTTGGCCACAGGCGGTCTCTTCGGCTTTTCCTTGTGCATAGCCGCGGCCCTTTCTGCCTGCTCCTGCTGCTGTTTCTGCAGCAGAGCGATGCGTTCCTTCAGACTAATCTTGGGCTGTGGCTCTTCTTCGCCCTCGTTCGCATTTGCCTTGTCATGCGCGACCAATCCCGCGCGCTCCGCATCGTTCTGGGTCTGCGCCTGACGCTCCGCAATTTCAGGATCCTCTTCGCGACGGTAGGTCTTGACGGGTGGAGCCTCTCGAGTGGGAGGAACGTAGGCATTGCGGCTCGGCGGGGGAGCCACGAAAGGCTTCTTGATGAAACTAGGGGCGCCGCCAGAGGGCTTGAAGGGTTTGGGCGGAGGATCAGTGGGCTTGTTGAAAGCAGCAATGCGATCCCGGAAGGCATTGTTCTTGGGAGCGACAGGCGGAGGAGCCTTCTTCGCGGGAGGAGCGGGCTTGGACGACTCCGACTGCGGCGGCAGGGCTTCGGGAGCCTTTGCGCTCGACGCAGAGCGAGGCGACATGGGTGACATGGGCAGCGGTGTTGTTTTGGCGGCGCTGGGCACCTCAATGGGAGGGGCCTGGGGCTTTGGCGGCTCTGGTTCTTGAGGCAGCACTGGCTCTGGCTCCTGCTGCGGTATTTGAGGCGTGGGAGGGGCTTCCTGCGCAGGCGGCTGCTCCAATGGCTTGTGCCGCGAAGCTCGGTTGGGTCGTGGTGGCGGCTCTGGCTCGTAGCGCTCGACGAAGTTCCTGGGGAAGAGGCCATCGTGCTTGGTGCCGCTGTCGTCGGTGTATTCGCCCACGTACCAGTCGTCGCCCTCCTCCTCGGTGACGGAGATTATCTGGCCGACCTTGAAGCCCAAGTCGTCTTCGTGGTTGGACACATAGTCGAAGACGGCCCTGACTTTGTACATGGCGGCGGGCGGTGTCGATGGCTGCAGAGGTGGTTGTGGTCCTGCGGCGGAAGACTCAATGGGGGTGACAGCTGCGGTCCCTGCCTGACAGCGCTACAGCAAGAATGTGTGGGAGCTCTCTAGGTGCACGGCGGGTCTCGGACGTGTAGCTGCGATGACGCCCATG